AGGCCTTATCCAGCGTGGATGCATTCGCAGCCGCTTGATCCGAGCGAAGTTGTAAAGGCAGAAGAGAAGGGCATAGTGGGAAGAATTCACAGGAAAAGTCACTGCGTTTGGAGAATGGGCAGTGCATTGATTTTCGGCGCAGTGTGTGGTGCCTTGGCTGCAATTTTGGCGCTATGCTTGTGGCCGATATGCAGAGGCAGGCGGCCAATGGCCGTGGTTCCTGAGGAATGTAGTGTGAAATCAATGGAAATTGTGGTTGTAGATAAAGTGGAGGCAGGTGAAGAAGGCAATAAGAAATAGGTTTTCGAAGTTTTGGTTCTTGGAAGGTTGTGTGTTGGGCATTTTCTTCTTTCTTAGTGGCTGCAGGTTTTTTGTTGTGAATTTTGGTTAGGGCGTAAAAAGGGCCGACCCACTCCGGACTGGTCCGGATCTCGGAATTTTTTTAGCCTATCCCAATCCGACCCGTTTTTTAGTTAGTTGAAAAATACTTGATTCATTCCGACTCACCTTAAATCACGAGTCAAACAATAGTGTTCGCGAGCCAACTACCTAAATGAAAAAACAATTTAAATTTTGTTAATCACATATATAATTGATTAGAATAGATTAAATGTTTTATAATAAGATAAAAAAGAGATTATAATAAAAGTATCAAAATTTTAAAATATATATTTTTTATTTGTGGGTTCGTTGAATTGGTTCGCGATGAATTCAACTTGTGACATGTTGATTCGTGATTCGATTGACCCGTTTGATATCCCTAATTTGATGAGTGGTTAGCGAGTCGACCAGACACATTTTGGCATCCCTAACTTTGGTATGTAAAAAATCAAATTGTGAAAATGTAGTTTTTTTTCTCCGCAGATGGATGGATACTTTTTTCATTGAGCTAAAGAATCACGTTCGAGCATCCAAATCAAAAACCTTATCTGTATACTCTGGAATCTGCACTATGAAAACAATAAAGAAGCCTAAGAACAATGAACTAAATAGGGAAAACAAACACCCTACGCTTCTGCTGAGCTTTTCCTTTTGCGTGTGTGAGCCTCCTGTGTACATATATATATATATACCAAAAAATCTTGAACCCTCTATCTATCTGACTGTGAACTTCCGAACCGGTTATCTCAGAGAATTGGCTCGTACACCCTGTCTTTCGAATCGGTTAGGCCCGGTCTGGTCCTGAGACCTGTCGCAGAAGCAACCCGGAAGAGGATTCGCGTAGAAGTTCTCCTCTGTCTTAGGGCTTGCGCCTGGCTTTCTCAGATACGGCGTCCCTACTCTATTCTGATGCAATCTCTTGACCTTGGACGAGAACTCTTCCCACGAAATGTTCCCCGCATCGAGCCGATCGATCAACTTCACGAATTTATACCTGAAAACACAAGACGGGTTCGGTCCTAATCGATGTTTAAAGCAAAAGGTTGAGTGAATTCCAGATTTCTTGGGGTGCAAGAAAGAGAGACCGAACCTGTCGGGGTTTATAGTCTTTCTAAACCCCTCGAATCTTCGGTGACCCTGAACAGCTTTAGCCATGTTACCATCGTAAGTATAAACAAAAACATCACTCTCCATAGCCAAGGTGTAGTCCAGAGCGGCAAGCCGGTTCTGGTAAGGCTTGATACGACCGAGCTCTCCTGGGGTGGCGAGGTTCGAGTGAGAGAAGACATTAGGGAACTCTTTGTAGAACTGAGACATGCTATCTTGTCCGTAGATTTCGCCGGCTACGATGTAGATGGTGGTGGTTGAAGGGAAACCCATGGCTTTGAGGAAGAAGGCGGCTTCTCGTGGGGTCATGGGGCAAGCTCCTTCCAGACGCTGTTTCGTGCCGTTGATTTCCTTGTCCTTCCAACGTGGGTTGTCGTATCTCATTCTCTCGAGCTCCATTGATTCTTCTACGGTTAGGC